ATCTATTGAGAGAAGTCACAGACGTGCCTGAATGTGTAAAACACTGACAATGATATTTATCTATTATAAAAAATGATAAGAGTAAATGAGGGAGGTGATGAAATAAAGGCTTCATGGGGAAAATTGATGACGGTAGTTGAGAGTTGGATGCCATAAATATATAGCTGCCTATTTCAACTGCTTTCTCGGTGCTCTGAGCAAATTCATGAAGGTAGTAATGAAGATGACATGTTTCCCTTTTCTAATTTTGTTTCACTTTTTAAATTATTTCAGTTTTTTATATATTTGATGATTAAAAATAATGAATTGGCCCCTTTTTTCTTTAATGTTTGAATATTCTTGTCAAATCCGTTGACTAACATAAAATTGGACCGACACTAGGCCTCGGCACTGTGTAGTTTGAGTCAGTTTTGACTTCAATCCGAAACCAAAATCAAATTAATCAGTTTGGATGAATTTCAACCCAAACCCTAACTCTTAAACCGAACCGAACCGACCCAAACCAAATTGGTTTGACTTGGTTCGATTCGATTCGGTTCGGATCAGTTAGTCTGTTTGGACTTTTAGTCCAAACTGAATTATCTGAAATTTGGGTCCACTTAGATTATAAGAACTAAAATAACTAATAACTGTATATTACAAGAGCTATTAAGTAACGAATAAAATCAAGTTAATAGACCCAGATCAACAGAAAACTTAAGAATTTTGTTGTTTTTTTATGCATTATGTAACCCGACTGTCTAAGGAGGGAAAAAAGTCTAAGTATAACATAATGAGCTTGTGAAATGAAAATTCCAGTGTTATTACTTACTGACACATTATAGATTGGAGGGAATCGAGATATAGTTATGAGATTATGGCTTATCTTTTGATTTTTATTTCTCTTAAAAAAATAAAAGGTAAATGTGTAAGTGAGTTGAGTTTGTTCGATTAACCAGTGATTTGAGGCTTCAAACAATGACCGAACCAACCTACCATGGTTTTGCAAAAAAATAAAGACAAATCAATTACCTTTGTCAAATAGACCCGAGCCGGTTCGATTCGATTGCTTTTTTCGATTTTTTTTCCCGAGCCTAATAAAAAT